CAGGACAGATGAATCTAGACAATATTCCCACAGTCTGTGGCATTGACTGATAGGCATCTTTGTAAATATTCAGTTGGTAGCTGATCTTCAGTATTGGAGGAGGGACATGGTAGAAGGTGACTGGATCATGGGGACAGATTTGCAACTTGCTGTTCTAGTGATAGTGGCTGAGTTCTAACGAGATCTGATTGAAAAGTGTGTAGCAATTTCCCCTCACTCTCTCACCCTCTGTCCTGCCACCATGTGTAGATGTGCCTGTTTCCCCTTAGCTCTTCCACCATGATTTTAAGTTCACTAAGGCCTCCCCAGCCATGTCTCCCATACAACATGTAGAACCGTGAGTCAATTAAGCCTCTTTTCTTTCTACATTCCCCTGTCATAGGTAGTTCTTTATAGCAGTGTAAGAAGAGATTAATGCAGTATTTAACTCTTTCTTTCCTCAAATATCAAAGTTCAGATTCTGTAGGCCTCTAGACACATTCTATAGCAGTGTAGCTGCAAAATGAGCAGGAAAGTTAGGGAAGGCAAACCCGAGGTAAAACTGTGCAGAGGTAAACCTTCTGAAGGCTCAGGTTTACTTCTACACAGGTGTTTTCTGTAGGACGGCATCAAATGGACATCTCAGTTACAGAAAGTTAACTTTCCAAGGTCAGCCTAAGTCTGGTTTATTGACTCAATTATCACACTATGAACATATTTAACTTAAATTAGGTGTATTCAGGAATGAGTGGGCTTGGATGTAGATGCCAATCACCTCACAGTTAATGATGAATTGAATTGAAGGGTTTTGATGTCTCAGACGACATTTTTATCATCATTTTTCTCTTTTTGTTTTGTTGATAGCCTGCTACAATAGCACTGATATAACCTTGCTGGTTATCTCCTTATGTTAGGCAGTGAACTTCCTGGCAATAAGCAGAGTCACTGCAATGTATTCTTTTTAATAGAATTGCAATTAAGTGGTATAATAGGATATGCCTCTAGATATTTTTCTGTTATAAGATTTATACATTATTTTAATAGATAACCTGTTTTGATTGGAGAGCATCTGCTTAAAATTATATTACTGCTATAGATGCCTGTCTAATTAGGAGGAATCTTTGTGATATGTTTGTGTTTATATTGATAGCACCATTTAAACCTTATACTGTAGACAAGGAAACAATGTCCATTGTTGCTCAAAATGAATCTGAACATGGAGTAAAATTTTCCAACTCACATTCAGGCAATGTATCCTTCTCAAAACCACTATCATGATAAATAGTTTCTATTTTGAATTAATTTCCATGTTTTAAAAGAGTTAATGATGTTAACCATTTTGCTGATTCATTCCACGAAAATAAAAACTCTTAAAAAAGGCATTATTTTTATTAGGGTTGTGTATACATATGTGTGTGTGTGTGTGTGTGTGTGTGTGTGTGTGTGTGTGCATGTGAATGTGTTTATTTTAATAAAACTATTTTGTAATTCACTTAATGGTCTTTAGCTTGAATTTTCAAAAGGTATGACTGTTAGCAAATTGATAGGAAAGTAGGTAACAATGAATTAAAGGTTACTGGCAGCCTAAGACACTGTTTATCTCTTTTAAGGTAGGCAGAATTCAAATTGCCTTCATTAGCTGAGCAATATGCTGTGGAAAATGTGCTGGGTACTTATCAAGAGGCTCTTTCATTTGCATTTTTGCTAAATAAACAAGCTGCTCTGTTTCTTAGCTGCTCAAGAGCTGTGAATAGAAGAGAAAGAAAATAATTCAGGTAAGTAAGCCAGGGGCATTCCAGGACTAGATTAAAGAAAAGAAAAAGTTTATCAATGAAGACGTCAGAATTGTGCCATGTGTATTTGTGATACAAAAAGACAGTCTCACACATAGTTAGAATCGAGGATGTACAAATGAATTAATTCTCCCCACATCCACTGGTACCACAAGCAAAGATAGAGGCTGTTCTTTTGATATACGATCAATACTTCAGCCTGACACTACTCTAGCTGCCTTGCTGTTGCTGGTTAAAAGTTTGAATTTCAATTAAGCAGTAAATCTTTATGGCATCACATCTCCAACAGTCAATTATTGTCTTCCTAATCTCTTGAAATTCTGAAACACTTATTTTGCAGAATCCTTTCCTTTAGGCTCATTCACCAGCAAAATGTTTTTGTTAGACAGGTAAAGACACAGTTTTCTCAAAATAAAATCTCAAATATTAATTAATTGTTTTGTTTAGATTTTTTGGTCATTTGCCTATGTGTAAAGAATGTTACACTTCTAGAGTATGTTAAGACGCACACTTAACATACTCCGGAAGCAGACTGATGAATACTCTCAGGCAAAAGTGCATTGACTTGATTATATACCTTTAGCCCATGTTACATTTCAAAATTTTCCCAACATACACATTCCTTGGAAAAATTCCTAAATCATGCAAAACACATAAGCATTCTAAGCATGGATCACACTCAAATCTGTGTAAATATTATCATCTCTTGTCGTAAAATCTCCCTGTAGATTTTTTTTCCCAAACATTTTCTTTATTTTCAGAGTGTTGGTTGATGCCTACAAACCAGATAATACTGTAATTCCAGCTACTCAGGAGGCTAAGGCAAGAGGATTGTTTTATCGTGGAGGATGTCAATATTTTAAGACAAAATACAGAGAACTTGATAGACATTTCTTTCATTTAGGGTTTTAATAATTTTAAATTTAAGAGGTCACAAAGTTAAATTAGCACATCTTCAAAACTATAGATTTAAAATTGTTTTAATAATTAGATCCACTATTGCAATAAAAAACAATATTATCTTTTCAGAATATCAAAAGAAAATGTTTTCACTGAAAGTAAATGCAGCCTATGTCAGTAAAATTCTACAATTATAACTGCTATTCTTCTCAATCATTTAGAATGCAAGTATTTCTTATTTTACTTAAAATAATTTTCAAATTAACTTGAAGAAGTCTGAACTACTTAACTAGAATACTTGTCTGATTTTGAAAAAATAAAACGAACATTTTATTTTAAATGATTTATATGTCAAACTGGTAATCCTCAACAACCATGTTCCAGATATTTTATTATTATATGCTTAGGTATAGAGTAGGTTAAACATGCCTGCTTAAAAACACCTCTAATGCATACAGACCAGCATGAAAAACCACATAGTAAAAACAAGTCTATACATTTTTGAACTAATAATTAGCCAGCATGTAAACATAAGTCTGTCTGACTTTTAAGTTTTTGGCTCTTCATTCTTTGATACTAAAATCTCCCCTAGTCTTCAAACCAGTTCTTAAAAATGTAATAATTTCATATTACAGCATGTACAACTATTAATAATCATTTGAAAAAATCATTACTACATATTTTATTTTGGAAAACATGAACAGTTATTATAATTTTCTTTCAAATTGATATTATTTTAAATTTAACTCAACCTAATTTATCCTACCCAAAACATGAGAGAACCCTGGGTATCTTAAAACTGCAAGGCTATTAATTACACTAATCCAGCTAACTGAACCTTCTTATGAACAAGCAAAGCTTAATACCATGACTAGGGTCAACTCATCAAGGTGAATTAAGAGTTTTATTATGTGATTTGCTGTCATTAAAGCAATATACATTTATAGTTGAACAACATTCTACAATCATGAAGAAGAAAAAATAAGGCTTGACAATAAAAATTGGAGATATGGCTATATAGAAATCTTATAATTCTATGATCCTGTAACTGTGAATTTTCTAAAACACATAACTGAAATGTGCATTGCTGACTATGAAGAAATACATGCGTCTTATATTAAGTAATTACTCTCATATAAATTATTGAGGTTTCTGATTTGTACATTATTTTTGCATATCAGAATAAATGTAAGGATTAGAAAACTGATGTATATGTTGGGATAGAGTTGGAAAAATTGATTTTTGGTAAAAATGAAGTGAAAAGATGTAATGAAAGTAAATGTAAAAGATGTAATATAAAATATGTAAAAGATGTAATGAAAATATAATAAATCATGTAGTGTCATCAGATTGGGAGACCAATGAAATGGATGAGAGACAAAAGAGAAGGAGCAAAAATTTACATGTATATACATATATTTTCTTAATTTTATTTATTTTTAAAAACAGATGGAAGTCTGTTTAAAAAACAGAAACAGGCTGGTCTTGAATTCCTGGGTTCAAGGGATACTCCCGCCTTGGCCTCCCAGTGTTGGGATTACAGGAGTGAGCCACTGTGCCCAGCCCACAAAAATTATAGACTAGAAAGGTCATAATAGATTAGAAAACAGGGTGAGCACGGTGGCTCACACCTGTAATTCCAAGAATTTGGGAGGCTGAGGCAGGTGGATTGCCTGAGGTTAGGAGTTCAAGACCAGCCTGACTAACATGGTGAAACCCCGTTTCTACTAAAAATACAAAAATTAGCTTGGTGTGGTGCAGCCACCTGTAATCCCAGCTACTCTGGAGGCTGAGACAGGAGAATCACTTGAACCCAGGAGGCAGAGTTGCAGTGAGCGAAGATCTCACCACTGCATTCCAGCCTGGGTGACGAAAGTGAAACTCCATCTCGAAGAAGAAGAAAAAAAAAGAGTAGAAAATAATGTAGAGAAAATATAGTAGAAACCAGACTACAGATGCTAATTAGGATTAAATTACAAGTAGAAACACTGACATAAGGTGTAAACAAACAGCAGAATTTTCTTAATACCTATTTCATGACTTAAAATTGACTATAAGATCTTTTAAGAAATCACATTGTGAAGAAAACAAAATTTATGACATAGCATAAGGTTCTAATCTTTAATAAAAAGAACACATATATAACTATATCATCTAATGACCCACACAAATTCTTATCCTAAAATGCTATGAAAAGGCTTACATATTGCTTTGTAATTTTAAAAGTAAATTTAGGATCTATACCTTAAGTTTTTAAATTGTTAAATGTCTTGAGTATTCTGAAATAATAATAGGAATATTCATACTGCAAAACAAACATGTACTTACCATCATGATTAGGATTTCCTAGCGTCCATGGCTCATCTGAGTCAAAGTGGGTATCTCCACCAATTCCTGGTCCAGGGAAGTAGGCATGTGCCAAAAATCCTCCCTCTCCATCAAAGGGAGAACTGTCCCCATGGAAACCAGATGCAAAAATAATGGTTATATCCACATCTCGTTTGCCATTTTCTAATTCACTGTAGGGAACTTCTTCAAATGTCAGAGGAGTTACATTCTGCCACACATCAAAGGCACGGCGAATAGCTTTACGAGTCTCAGGGTCTCCTACTTTTGGAGTTACGTTCTTTATACTGAAAGTCAGAAAATATAATAATCAGTATTGTTATGTGTAAGCTAACTTATTACAGGTTTTGATTGATTCAGTTAAATAAAATATTAGAGAAAACAGTCATATTAAATAGGAATAACATGTATTCATTCCTTTTGTCTCTATAGCTAGATTGTGCTACACTGTAATCATTTAATTTTCAGCAGGATAGTATTCATGTACCAAAGTTTTAAATGAAAAGATATCTGTAGAATGGTTAACAGTAGGGTAACTAAATCAATCAGTCACTTTACCTTCTGGATGAGAAAGAAAAAGGCAGATTTGCAAAATGATCAAAGAGGTGCAACAGTTTTGAGCTGAAATACAAATTTCAATTTTTTCTAGTTATAATTTTTAGAGACACACCATTGTATCTATATACATCAATTTCAAACAATGCATTTATGCTCTTCTTGATCTATAAATACCAATTCAGCATACAGCTACTTCTTAATTTTTAAAGAAATGATCAAATGCTGACAATTTCTGATATTCTATTGTTTCTCATTAATTAATTCTGGTTAAAAATGTACTGTGAGTAAACAGCTATTTAATACAAAGATTTAAAAATTGCATGGATTTAAAGAAGTAACTTGGACATTATGTACTTTAGTTTGTCTCGATGCTAATAACAAATGGATTAAATAACTATAAATATTGTCCTTGATTCATTTAGCACTAATCAGATGTTTTTTTTCCTCAGTGTTTTCTCTAAACAACAAAAATGGATCTAGCATGTATATATTTTTTTATATTATAGCACTATAAATTCAAACCATTAATGTAAAAAGCAATGGATACATTTCATAGGAGTCATAAATAAGTTTCAGATCCATTCAATCAATAATAAACTTACACTAATGAAATATTTTCGACTCTTTTTTTCTTTTTTAGAGATAGGATCTCATTGTGTTGCCCTGGCTGGCCTTCAACTCTTGCACTCAAGCAACCCTCCTACCTTAGCCTTTCAAAGAGTTGGGATAAAGGAAGTAATCACCATGCTCAGCTAATAAATAAGATATTTAATTAGAAAAAAGAGGATGCCATATTCAGGTGATATATACTAAAATGCAATCATAAAAGGGAACTGAAAGTGATGGTTAAATTATGGCAACTCTAATGCATGTCATTGTATATACACAGACTTCAAAATTTTTTGCCCTTTTAAGACTTTTTATCAGCATGGAGAAACTTGTAGGATTAATATGCATATTATATTTTTAACCTGATTATATGTCAATACAATTACAAATATTAGGCAGGAATTACATAAACTAATAATGGTATTAATTGAGCATTTACTATGAGCCAGAGGAGCACTTCATAATATCTTATGTAACCTCCTTAGTAACCCAATGAGATGAGTATTTGTACCTATTTTACCAAAAGCACTGTGGAGATTTATAAGAATTTAGAGCAAAACCTCTAAGTAGCAGGGCTGGGTTTTCAATCCAAACATTTGGGCTAAAAAATCTATTGTCTTAAACACTACATTAGACCGCACATCTAAGACAAAGTTATCACTATTTTCTAATAAATATCTAGATCATATTTACATTGATTATTTGGTGGTAAATATTATTCCTTGCATACAAAGGAAATAAGGTAATAAGCCAAGTGGAAATAGAGTGCAAGCAAGGGGGAAGAAATGGCAAGTGAAAGGCATTGAAGTGACGATATTCTTGTCAGGTTCAAAGAACAGCAAGGCAGCTGGTATACTTTGGTCACAGGGAGACAGCAGGTGTCAGGACGTGAGGTCAGAAAGTTAGAACGAGACCAAATAAGGTAGGCCCCTGTAGGCCACTCTAAAGAGTTTGGATTTTGCTCTGAGAAGGAAAAAACTGGAGTATCATGAACAGAGATGTGACCTTTGACTTATAATTTAATAAATGACTTGAGCCATTATGTGGAAAATATATTAATGTGGGGCAAGAGTTGAAGCAGGGAGACACATCAGGAACTATTGCAAAAATCCAGGTGAGAGATGATGGTGCTTTGGACCAGGTTGGTACCAGTAGAGATTTTGAGAAGTAGCCATATTTTGGATACATTTTGAGGATAAATCTCCCAAGATATACTGATGGATTAGACATAGGCTATGAAGGACAAAGTAAGAGCTGAGGAAGACAGCATTTCTTTTTTTGACCCGAGGCAAAGGATGGACAGAGCAAAAGAATTCATGCCTGTTCAGGGAGAACGCTATGCAATATTTTGTTGTTGTTTTGTTTGTTTGCTTTAACTTGGTCATATTCAGCATGGTGCCATAAGCTATTGTTTGAGGAAGAATAAACATCTACACTGAGATAGCACAGATATTTGTCTAGCTTGCTAGTCTCTAAATTTCCTAATGGCTAAAGAAACATGCAAAGTAATGTAACACTGAATTTGGTCTAAATTAATTTTCCTAGTAGTCTTCTATTTTCTATGCACCCTATGGGATTTCAGAAGTCCCTCAGTTGGCTGATATTCCTATGACATAACTGAAAGATCTTACTACGTAATTGGCACTGCTCCAGGTGCCAGAGATAACAGCTGTGAGCAAGACTCCGTTCCCATAGTGCTTATACATTCTAGGGATGAGATAAATAATAAACAGAACAAAAATAATTACAGAGGAGATGATAAACAGGATTTCAATGGCAGAACGAGTCAAAGGTGCCTAGCACTGACTTTCCAGCAAGAGGGAATGGTAAGGAGACCAAACAAATGTGGCCAGTTCAGAGAACTGCACTGCTCAGTGAGTTGGATCAATAACGGAGATCACTGTGTCTGATGGAAAATGGATGAGGGGACAAAAATGGGAGCAATCAAGCATTTCAAAGTTCACATAAGAGAAGGCAGAGAACAGGACTTTTGTGATAGCTATGGAGATACGAAGGATTAGTTGCAGTATATGTTCTGAGAGAATTGTTCATGGGGATTGGTGATGGATTTGACATGTAATGGAGAAATTGATTTTGATTTCAAATATAGAATACTCATAATAGAGAAATGAAATCATATTAGTATGATTTGTTTGTAAATAGATAATAGTTTTGAGAAAAATGAAGCAAAATAATATAATAAAAAGTAATAAATGTGGAGTATTTGAATTCGAGAAGACACCACTGTGTTTTACAAAGCTATGTGCTGATTAGCTTCCAGATAAGCTTAACTACATTGGATATGATTGTCATTAATAAATACAAGACACCTGTACACCAAACTCTCATGACATGAGCTTACCTCTAGAGCGAACCTGTACATGTACCCCTGAACATAATAGAAAAAAAATACAAAAAAGAGAGAAAAAGGTTATGAATGCTGATGACACTGAGCCCAGGTTGAACTGGGAAGCCAATGCCCAGTTTCATATTCAAAGGGTGAAAATAAAAAGGATTAGTAAGGCTGAATATGTGAGCTGAAAGGAAAGAGTATTTTCAACAATAAATCAGTATAAATAGAAGTTGACTTATATTTATCTTCTGGAGGCCTACTTAATTGTGGATTTTGGATATTATGGAAGAATAAAGATAGCTGGTTAAATGAAATATAAAATTCTAAATGAAAAAATAGAAAAAACAATTATAGATATTATTTCATTTTTAATAGGCTTTGCTATGGAAAGTTAAAAGGACTGTTCAAAATGGAAATAAGTACTCAGTGGTCTTACTTGAATTACACAAAGATGGAAAATTCAACAACATTACTTCAGGAAGAAAAAATACTTATTGTTCCTATTTAAATATATATGATGAATTTCAATGACATGATGCATTTTGGTTTTTAGTTAGTTTGTTTCGTTTTTTGAGATAGAGTCTTATTTTGTCACCCAGCTGGAGTGCAGTAGAACAATCTAATCTCACTGCAACCTTTACCTCCTGGGTTCAAGCAATTCTCCTGCCTCAGCCTCCCAAATAGCTAAGATTACAGGTGTCCACCAGTATGGCCTGTGAATTTTTGTATTTTTAGTAGAGAAGAGGTTTCACCATGTTGGCCAGGCTGATCTTGAATTCCTGACCTCAGGTCGCCTCGGCCTCCAAGTGAGCCACTGTGCCTGGCCATATGATGCATTTTTAATTGTGTTCTTAATGATTTGGTAATGTTGAATTAGCAATATAAATGATGTAAAAAAAAAAAGTAACCTCTCATTGCTTTTTTATGAAAATCCAGAAAACAGTATAGTTAAAATTTCCAATTTAGATGATTAAAATTCCTACCTTTATATAATACATACAATGTAGTGGTAATTTAATGAGGTCTGACAATAATATTCTGTGCAGTAAAAAATAAATAAATACAAATATATAAGTATGCTTCAAAGTTAGAGCTAGAGTTCTGAACTAGGTGAACTTGTTTTCCGAAACAAGAGTTCAGAAACTTATATGCCATTCAGAGATGTATTCTGTATTTATTCATAACTGAAATAACAAAGGTCACAGAGCAATCATGAGGTAGCAAGAATATGATTGCTACTAATAATTCTAATAAAAATGTACAAATGATTAAATATATTTGCAGAATAAAAGATGCTGACTTAAAATGAGTAAAATAAAAGTTTGAAAAACATAATAAAGCCAATTTAATTTTAAAATACTTTTACTTGCCCTTTCTTTTTGTGAAAGAGTAAAGTGAGTACATATCTTATTATTATTTTTTCCCCATATATTTATTTTATTGCATTTTAGGTTTTGGGGTACATGTGAAGAACATGCAAAATTGTTGCATAGGTACACACGTGGCAGTGTGATTTGCTGCCTTCCTCCCCATCACCTACATCTGGCATTTCTCCCCTTGCTATCTCTCCCCAGCTCCCCACC